CATCGTATTTTTATACGTTACTGTGCAACGTAGGCCGCCGTGCGAAAACTGCATGAGAGATTGAGATTGTGGAAATTGAGACTAACTTTAAAAAGTCATTACCCAAGTATGTGTTATGAGTCACTGTTCAGTTACAAGTAAGTTTCAGCATACATTAGTAACTTCTTTAAATAACATCTCACCAATAATTCGACATCGAAGACCAAGACATATCTCGCCATCCGACAAGGGGGGCACTACTCCTGGTTAAAGCAGATCCAGTTATAAACGTATTAAATACAACTTTAATATAAGCTATTTAAGATGGAATTACAGCGGCTGATGCTACTTGCCCTCGCTGCGAGCAGTAGGGGAACATTCCAATAACAGACCTGAAAAGGAGCATGGCATTCTCACTCTTCATCACTACCTCTTCATTCCCAAGTTAATTCGCAATTTGAGAATCTGCTGACACCTTGAACGTGGCTGCTGTATCTCAGGCTCCCTCATCGAAGTCGAACTTTTATCTTCCATTACTCGTTACCGCCATGACAGGCGTACATCCAGCCAACCAAAGTTGCTAATGCAGACATTTATAAAACACATAGCCAGTACTTGGCCATGCAATCTACAACGTTATTCAGATGCATCAAACTGCAGCGTTCACAAGAAGGGTCTGTTCATCTTTGTTCCAACAGCTGCACCAAAACCGAGGCAAAAGCAGTAATAGCATACTAATTCTAGATTTACCACAGATATATACAAAAAATTGGTATCTGCGACGAGCGGCATGCACAAACACCAAATATGCTAGCCGCCGCATTGATAGCACTTACCTCGCCCAAATCTTCGGCGAGATACCGTCACACTCACGAACGAGTATCGGGAGATCCGGATTGTTCTTTTTAATATCAACGTAATATTTGGAAATGAACTCGCGCAAGCCTTTGCTGGACGCCGAGCTGTTGCATAAGTGTAGCCGTAATTCTTTAAGGTGAGGACCGAAACGGACGACTGCCTTTGCGGCCATCTAAGGAGCAACGTCAAGTGTAAACTCAAGTTTAAACTTCAAAAGTTGAACTTTAAACGAAAATACACCTTAATCAGAAAATATGAGAATAAAAACTCGGTAAACATTAGATCGAAAAGTGACAATGGCCGCGATTAGTGTCATTCTCCGTTCAAACGGATAACTACATTAAGCAAAATTTGGGTACATTAAAACATATTTTCCAGATTTTGACCGTTCACGTGCTTAAAACATTTTTTTCGTGCCATAATATTGGCCTTACAGCATCGCAGTTCATAGTTCATAAGGTATATGGTCAGATAACAGTCATCTCATCTGTTTAAACTGTAAATGAACGGTAGAACGCAATCGTTAAGTGCGGCCTGCTAACCGTAGTTGTGATCCTTAAGACATTTACTTTAAGGAAATAGAAATTGTTCAACCACTGATTAATTATTGCTTAGTTATTCTACTGTCGCAGGGCTCACGATGGGTTAAAGTTAAGGAAAGCCTATCAATCATAATATAATCAGTCTTACTTCACCCTGACGTGATTTCCTACTCTAATAATCGCCTGTTGTCCGTGATATAGATAAGGAAGCTGAATTGGTGAGAATCTAAAAGGTATACGTTGGCAGAAATGAGTCACATCTGAACACGTCTAAAGACCTTAAGTGCCAATCGGTTGAAACAGGTATCAGAAATGAAATATAACGCGAATGGAAAAACAAACCGGCAAAATCATGCGTAAGCAAAATGAAGCAAAACGAAAACGAAAGTTGAATTTATTTCACTGCAAAAAAAAATAATCAGCAGAAATCAAAATGCAATACAATACATGCCCCATTTTCCGTTCAAGTAGCAGATAACATTAAGCAGACGGTTAGAAGACTAGAAAACAAGAATCTATTCAGGGGAGCTTTCGGAACCAATGACGCTTTTCATTTCTTCTTTGACACAAATTAACATGCGTTAATAAATATATAATATATACATTTCTAGGTTTCCAACCATCTCTCACTGTCTTCATTAAGAGTCCGTTTATGTTTCTTCGAACTGACTACGTAGCATTCTTCATAAACTTTAAAATATGAAACCAAAACTTCAAAAATCCAATAACTTGGAGTTGTGGCCTCATAAATTCATGTACAAATGGAAGCAACATTCGTACAATTAAGTTAGCCCGATACAAATTTCCTGGAAACGGATTAAGCTTAGTGGTATTCACTGGCCTAC